GGAAAAGAAGACATTCACGAAATCCAAGAAGACAGCCCATGCGAAATTAAACTACTCCACTCTGACAAAAATACCTCCACCTGCGAACAAACCGAAGTTGAAGTCCCGCAAATTATCATCAACAGTGCCGGCCCGAGGCTACTTTTAGTATGGAGCGAGATCTGACTTTGGCGCCCCTAGTTTAAATGTGATTCGCATGCGCGAGTATAGATTTTGACCATATCTAATTTAATAGGCAGGGTTGGATGGGCTTAGACAAACCGGCCCTGGCAATTTTTTTCATCCAGCCCTCCCTTGGACGGCAAGAATGAAAAATTGGTTTCAAAAATTTTACTGTAAAGAAAACGAAAGAATATTTTGGAATTTTCATTCTCGATATTATTACATATAGATAGGTCACGGTCCCATTGTGACAAACAAATAGGACTTGACGTTTTCTCTTCCCTTAATAGACCTATCTCCTATTACCTGGACTGCGCGCGTCGTTTGTAGGCTGCAGGTGAGCGTCCAATGAGAAGCAAGTTTGTGACAGGCTTCCGTCATATTCTTATTCAGGGGCCAGTTCAGAATGAATTGTTCCTTCTTTCTTTGTAACGTGTAATTTGACAAAGAGCAAACTAATTCTTTACATATTACTTGAACTCACCGCAGTTTCGTTTAAGATTATACTTGACATATTCCTTTGCAATTTCATTGAGCCATGTTGCCGGAGGAAACATTTATCAAAATAAAAGTGCAAACGATGTTCATCCACTTTAAAACTCTTCTTTTGTCTCATAAAAGGCATTGTAAAACACTTGACACTATATCACTTCTTTAATGTTATAATATTCGATTTGTATTGTCTACATTTATTCTGCAACAATACAATCTGGCTACGCAGCAGCCTACGAGTTGCGCGCGCATGTCATCTTTTATCGCTTTCTAACTTGTATTTATTACAATTAAGCTCTCTTTTTCTAATCATGCGAGATAGGTCTATTGCTCCTTGCATTACATTCCATTATCTTTTGTCTGTCAAATGGTCTGTCAAGTGACTACTCTTATGGCTAGGATGTTTGAGAGAGGTAGGTTGCCTGATAACTGTATGACGTCATCTGGGGTGCCTCATCCTGGCAGGAAAACTGAGGTCCAAAAGTAACCACTTTTCCAGGAACTAGAGTAATTAGTGATTAGATTACTCTTGGATCGCTTTTCTGTCGATGCTACATCTTTGTTTTTGGTTGAGGAGCGATGATCAACCCTCAGATTTGACTGGATTTGACCCATTTCCCAAAATCATAAATACTTGCTTCTTGATGTTACCATGTTAAATAGGTACCAAAGTCGTGTGTATAAATCGTGTAATTGTGAGACGAAATTGTGTAAAACTATGTAATTTGACCAGCATATCGTGTAATTTCACAAATTCAGATTGACAACACTGCATTCTCAATTAAACCGTCACCAGTGGTTTCGGACCTCACGCATAATATTCAGTTTAAGGCTATGGTCCGAATATAACCAAATGTTAACCAAAGTAACTGATCCGGTTGACAGATGGTTTCTGCAATTTCCGGTTAACTAGGGAACACGAATATGAAATAAAAAATTGTTGACAGAATTTTTAGGAATTTACAGATAAAACCAACAGAACCGACATCCGATAGTCGGTAACTATTTTGACATTTGGTTAACCAGATTTCAGGAAACCAAGGTCCAAAAGTAACCACTTTTCCAGGTACCAGAGTAATTTGATCGCTTTCGGACCGCGAAACCACAGCCCTGGGCTATATTCGGACCACAGCCTTAATATTGTTTTAGATAGGTAGTTTTCATGATGTTTTTGTCAAATATATAAATTTTAAAATTTTATTATTAATCTAGACGCGTCGGGCCTGCGGCCCGACCGTCCCAGAGATACCGGGCATTTGCGGTCGTCCCATCCAACCCTGCTAATAGGTTTGTTCCAACCCGTCAAAAAAACGTCCCAGAACGGTTTCGGAACCTCTCTGTATACGAATTTCGGTTTCTATGCAAAAATTTTAGGTTTTGCGCTGAATCCTGACGATAATATTACGGTTTCCTGCTGGGGCAACAAAGCTCAATGTCTCTATTTATCTTACCAATTGAAATTTGAAAACATTTCTGTTCGTTGGTACAAAGTTCTCTTATTTACTAACATTTAGTTCACATTCTTTGATGGGATCAACCAATAATCCACTTTGGTAATACAGTGGCGACGCGTGACTTGCAGTCTAGGGGGGGGGTAATGGGAAGATGCGACTCCCCGCTAACGCGCCGCAGGCAATTTTTTTTGTCAATTTCAAGGTCGTTCACTTTTCCAGAACAATAATTTCCTTTGTGAGGAAAATAAAACAAACAAAAAAATGTATTGTCTTTAATATTATTATGTATTTTCTTTTGGGCATCGTGATTTTTCCCTTGAATTTTGGATCCTGGGGGGGGGGTAATTACCCCCATTACCCCACCCGACGCGACGCCCCTGTGGTAATATCACTTATAACACTTATTATGGCCATTTCCACCAACTAGTTATTTTCGGGAAGCCCTAACGATAAGTATTCCCTAAACTGACAGTTTTCTATGGAGAAATGTCAGTTTAGAGAATACTTATCGTAATAGTTTGTGGAAACGGCCATTAGGGCCGGTTTATTCACCTTCTGATAAACTGTCAGGTGTCAGGTATGAACGATAAAAATGCAATATCTTATCCCATTGGTTAGCCATCTATGCGCCGACCAATAGATTTATAGAACGGTAAATTTATCTTGCCGATAATTACCCGCAAGTTTATCTGAATATAAATAAACCGGGCCTAATAAATATAAAAAATCGAAAAAACAAAATACGAAATTTTAGGTAAATTGGTGTTTGCATACTTTTGCATTAGCTTTATTCATAAATCCTCATATGACAATATCTGAGCTATAACATTTTCAATGGACAGCAGGGCTAGATCTTGAAGGTTTCTCTATTCTGCTAGAGTTGACCGCTAAGGTAAGTTTTAATTACCTTAAGCTTACTTAAGCTCCGTTCACCTTTCGGCACTGTAACAGGAATGGTAACAAAAATACGGACAGCTGTCCAGATATAAGGAAACGTATCTTGCCAATTATTAAATGCTAACGCCTGAAGGACTGCTTTCAGGTGACCGTTATCACTATCCGAAATATCGTGATCAAATGCTCGAGTAAGGGCGCCACCACACCCACGATCCGCGCGCGTCTCAAAAAAACGTCAGGACAGGTTATTCACATACTAAGTAAGCACAAGCTTGCTCACAAGCAGAAAAGCAAAATATCGAAAAGCAGAGACAGAATTCAAAGCGATAATATATTTTTCCCTTTTTTTTATTACCAAGGAACAAGTCGAAGGCGCCCCCCGAGGTCTGGCGCCTGGAGCGCTCGCTCAGTTCGCCTTATGGTAGGGCCGGCCCTGATCATCAATCGATTGGACGATTTCAATCAATGGATATTGGTTGTTCCTGTCAAAGAAGCCATCCAACTCAAGTGCTTTCAACAAAAAGAAGTACAAAACATCATTGGAACATTTATGCTTCAAATACCGATTGGTTGCCAAATGGCCACCGCTTCCAAAATAGTCATCAATGAAAATAGGACAATCAAGACCGATATTAAACCGATACTGTTTCCTGACATACCAAATACACTCGCCATGATGCCGACCCTCAATCTAAGTCGACATCTAAATTATTTGAAGTTAGACGACCTTCACCAATTGAGCAAAGAAGTAATGGACATATGCCCACAACTGAGCTTCACCGAAATCAATAGATTGCCCAGCCTTGGGACAACCCTTATATATGTCCTCATCGTTATTGCCTGTATCTTCTTGGTTTACATGAAATATGTAAAAGCTACCATGAAGAAGAAGAGGTCCACCCCCGTTCCAGAAGAAAACCGGAGTATTCAACTCCCCCGCTAGCGTGAAAGTTGAAGCTAAGAAGGGAGGAGTTATATCACGTCTATTTGTTGAGTCCTCATTTGAAATGCTTATTCTGCTTTTCAGCTTATTATAAATATATGTATTTTCTTAGGATAGTTAGTCAGTTGAAATTTATTATACTTATAACTTTTATTGTAACGTGCTTTCGCTAGTAATAATTTCGAATTGTTAATAAAGTCAATTTTTTAAAAACCAACCCTCGGTTGCTGACTTGTTAACTCACGCAAAAATATTAGTTTATCTTCAAAACCACACTTTTTGAAGTAAAACCAGAGATTAAGTCAATTTTTCAAAAGTTAGAGCAGAAACGAATGTAACAGTGTGTCAACAGTCAATTTTAAATAGAATACTACTATCCAAAAATTTGTTTAAGATGTTCAAAACCCAAAACAAGGCCCCCCCTTTAATGAGAATAGTATCAATAAAAAAATACAATAGTTCTTAAAAAAACACCATGTACAAGCTGTTAAATAGCTATTCCCAAAATATACATAATATTATGTATATCTGAAAACTATATCACTATTATTAAATCGATATTATCTGGAACTTGAGGATCAAAATACTTACTGGAGGAAGTTTTTTCATTACCGTTAGATTGGTTGTCGGATAATGGTGCTTCTAAAGGTAGAAAATAAATAAAAAAATCAAACATAAACATCTACGAACATTACAAAAGGCACATCTTGCAAAATTTGCTTTGTTAAAATAGTTTTTTCAAAAGCCACATATCCTCATAACTTTCAATAAAAACAAAATTGGAAGAGACATGTACATACATTTGACTACAAATAAGCTGATTTGAATGAAGAAAGTTATTATCAAATCAACCTTTTCCAAGGTAATTTAGTGAGTCAAGAACTAAAAGCAAACTTTGTAATATGAGCAATAAAACTAAAATTAAAATAAACTACATAGCGCTAAAAGCTTTAAATAGAGATAAATTAAAATATTGCCATACATGGCAGAATATCTACAAACTATAAATCTCACCTACCATTCTCAGGGGCCAACAAGTTTTTATTACTTACGTTCTTGATCAGATCCATCTTCCGATTTGTCATCTTTGCTTTTCATAAATGGAAATTTGCGACTAAAGCTGTAGCTTTTCTTTTTCCTATCCAAAGTCGATTGCTACAAAATCAATTATTATTGAAAATCGACACATTTCATATCGTTCCGAGCATACATCTACCTTATCCGCATGTCCTCCTTGACCCTGAAATTTGACAGATCGGTCCCTAGCTTTTTGCTTTCTCTCCCATCTTCTTTTGCTAGGTACTATACCCATACCTTGCTCATCTCCAGTGACTAATACTCGTCTGGCTTGCCACCATTCGTCATCACTGGCATTGGTCACGTGAAGAATGTCACCGTATTGAAAAGCTAGACCGCGGGAAGGCAATCCGTCATCTTTCATTGGATCGTAATCAAAAAGAGCCCTAAGATAGACACTTAATTATAGTACCAATGCTTTTTGAAAATAATGAGCGAGTCAGTTGTGATGCTGCAAAAATTGATATTCACAGAAACTCCTGCAATGTTGTATCAAATTACATAAGTTTTCTTGAATGATTTTGAAGCATTTAGATATCATTGGCATAACAATATCAGCAACGTAAGTTTTTCAAGACAAAGAGCCTAGCATATATTTCGATTTCATTGAATGGAATTGACTCATTTTTTCCCATTACCATCTTATTTTTCAAGTTTAATTGAAAACAAAAATATTCCATTTAATTAGCTGAGAATGCGAAGAAAAGAAAAGCTAAGTCTAGATAATAACAATGTTTTGTAAATTTGTCTGTATATTTCAGGATAGCAGAGTAGCGTTGCCTTCAAAATAGATAGATAGACAAAGAACAAAAAAACTGAATTGTATTTGCAAATTATACATTTTGGTATTTATTCATTTTCATTATTATGTTTGTAGATTTGATGAAGATAAAATAAAACCGAAACGTGACCTGATGCAATATATTACGCTACGTTGCCTTACAAGTAACCAACCACAAGCATAGACCACAAGTCCCAAAAAACAAAAATTAACATTAGCATGACTATGACTTACCTAACATACAAAGATCTCTTCTGTGATGTTCTTAATAAAGTGCCGCCCGTGACAGGGTTAGCCATTTGTTGCTTGAGGTCATTTATTTTGGCCTCAAACTTATTGTACTCTTCAGGTCTATATTGAACTACCATTGTGACTGTTTGACTAGTGCCCTGAAAATTAATATAGATTAGTCCAACTTTTATTTTGTGTATTCCAGTTTCTCTGCGTAGTAGAATAAAATATATTGATCAGCGATCAAAGTGTGAAAACTCATTGTGATTAAATGGGAGATCACTTAAACCTGCTACCACTTTATCACTCTCGCTAAATTTTTCATCATGTCAATATATTTTTTTTAATACAGGATTTGTATACATACATATTAATCATAATCAACAGTTTAAATACCAAGGCGTCTTTTGAATAATAATCAACCTTCTAGCCTTTGGGAGGCTTTCTAGATATACAAGGTGCCTTGATAACGTAGACAATGTAGCGATACTCGTTCAAGGAAAACATTTCCCGGTTATAGTATAGTAGAAGTTATGCAAACAGCCCTGATAGCTGTATGTACAGTGTGTCCCATTTTGGTTGTCCATACGGGATAATTCGGTTGCTATTGGAGTTAGAAGGATGCGGTTTCCGCGAACGTTGGCTACTTTTTTATCAAACGAAAGATTTCGCCAACAGAATTGTCATCGCTCTTTTTATTTTTCAGATACAGGGTAGGGTGTTTTTGAAAAAGTTGCATTTTGGGACACCCCTTGTATCTCGTTTCTCTCATAAGTGATCGAAAAGGTGACAACCTCTGAGGTGACAACGGTTTCTTATAGATATTTTTACGTAGCTTCCAGTGGCGTAGCCAGGTTTTCTCTAGAAGTGATATTTTCCAAATTATGAACCAAACATACGTTTTTTCAAATGAGACACCCTATATATTATAAAGTCATTGAATAGCTCCGCTTTTGCTGATTTCAATGATATAATATGCATAGTGGTAATGGGTAACAATAATCATAAACAGGGTTTTAATTCCCGCTTTTACCTTGAGTTACAGTAAGTTCAGTAGGAAATAAAATTATCTATATACCTACCTGTACCACGGGAATTATCAGGTGTTGGTACCCACGAGCAATTGGCCGAAGGCTCTTGGGACACATACTTTGCTCTAGGGTATTAACACCCTCATAATTCCCTTGATACATAAATAACTATTATTTTCTATTTAACTATTCGATCCATAATACCTAGGAAACGAAATACGTCAAGATACGTTACATATACTATAACAACCTGAGGGCGTTATAAGGCCGGCGGGCGTTATGATCCATAACGCCCACTTTTGCGCGCGTTACGATCTATAACGCCCGCTTATAATACCCTGAGGTGTTTTTCTTGTTGTTGTTTCATTAACTTGCACTTTACTCTAAGCAGCCACTAAATGTCCGACCGAAAATAATTTTTGGTCTGGCCAGGAGTCGAATCCGGTCTACTATCAACGCTTTCCATGTAGTCGAGTGCGATAACCCACACGACCACCGTTGCCTTGCCTTATGAGATGTTTATAGATATATTAAATTGTTCCGTTTCTAGGTACAGGTACATGTCAAAATACAAAACATTATTCTGTCACACAAGTTTAACTGATTTTGTTTGATACTAAATTGATGAAAAAACATTTTGTTGAATAGGAAATAAAGCATTGTATGCAC